AAATACTTTATTAATTAATGCGCTCCTTTTCATTTCATTTATGCCAACATATTTTTAGGTTGTGGGTTGGACATTTCAATATTTAATTTTGAAATGTCTTGATAACATTGTTTATATAACATAAAACTTCCTTACGAAGTGCGTGATATAATGTACAAGTATTCAACATAAATATAAATTCTTTCACAACTAAAAAAAAATTTAAAAAAAAGTATTCAACATATCCCAAAAAAATTCATTTTTTTCCGATTACAACGCTAGGAAGATGTGCGAAATTCTGATATTTCGTCTTGGAAGCGACATATGTATTGTTTTTATAAGTGGGAAACAAAATGCACAAATTCCTATGACAGGACAAATACTCATCCAGATTCGTCCCTGAAGGGGATGATGAATTTTTTTTCCTATCGGCTGGCAACACGGAAAAGGGCCGAGAGTTAATTATTGTTAGGTGAACACGTATTAGTTTGAAGATGTTAGTTACATTTTGGTTTTCGCGCAATTGAGCTTCTTCTCCTTTAAATATAATTTCCGGTTTAAGATCTTTGCTCGCGATAAACAGAATTATTCCCCCCGTGCTTAAGTAGTCACGAGAGTATTCATTACAGAGAAAATCACGGATTAAATGCTGATATGGCTATTCTTTAGGTCCTCTACAAGAACCAGAAGTCTTAAGTGTCACCATGGTTATTCGTGTAAGCCTACATTTCTGTAAAATATAAAATTGCGAAAGATTTGAAACCTACAAGGAACCTGAAGACAGGTCGAACCTGTTGATATCAAAATGTAGCTTTATTATTATATTTAAATAAAGTACTTAAATAAAACCCAAGATAAATCATTACAAAAGAAATAAAAAATAAGAAAGTTCAGATGAACGAAATAATCTGAAGAAACTAAAGGGCATGGGAAATTTGCATAAGCAGAAAAATTCCAAGCAATCAAAGTATTTCGGTGATCTAAAGAACCTAAAGAAACTAAACAATGTAAACAGTCGGACAGATTTGGAGGATCCGAAGAACAAAAATAGTTCGAAGTAAAACCAAAGCAGAAGGGATGGATTCGAAGAATTTGAGTTACCATATGAAACATCCAAACATGCCGAATTCACAACGAAGCAAAG